ACTACTGCTACTACCACTTCTACTACTCATCTGCTAGTTACGATTGTCTAAGGTTTTTGCACCTGTGGGTAACATTCATAGAAGCAGCAAGGCAGTTCACCGTACAAACACCCATTCTCAGTTTGTCTTTACAATAAGCCCTCCTTCGCAAGATCAATGGTTTAAAATATTCCTTTCTCCACAATTTGGCAATGTAGAGCCTGGTTTCTGTGTGACGGGGGCATTGCGGCAGGAGGTGAAAGCGCAGTCAATGCTAAATTCTGGATGGGTGCCCTGCTGGAACGCACCCATTCCCAAGGCTAGACTCTAGACAAGAAAGCTAAGGGTCTCGAGATTCGGATAAGGGTCTTCCATAATGTGTGGATGCTTTGGGGGTATGAGTTTCTCCCAGCAGACCTCAGCATGAAAGAGTTTGGGTTGACCGAACTGAACTTAAACCACGTCCCGACGCTGGGCGGGACAGATGGCTGAGGATTCAACCGCACATCCAAAACCCAAAGTTGCTATAGTCTACACTGTTGAGTTCCTATAAATGGAAGACCCCTGACTTCAGGCCCCGGCAGGGTTGATTGACTGTTGAGGGGCGGGGAGTCCCGGTACTAGTACGCTCGCTAAGTCTCTCTGCGACTCGGGGAGGGGCTGACAATGGGGATCACTTTTTTTGTAATTGAGAGGGGGGGTTGACAATTGAGTTTCGGGACTCGGGTCATTTTAACTGAGGTGGCATATTGAAATGAACTCAACATTAACTTACATAACTCTATAACCCTCTCCCCCCAAACCCAAGACCAGAAACACGAAACGTCCTCAACCAGTACAATCTACAGAGCCCCAAAACGGCCTAAACACTGACACCCTAAACCGGCAAACCCTTGCTGGGCATCCGCACGTCCCGGCCGAAGGCGCTGTGCTACCGACCCCGGCCTCTTAACGGTTTAGGGTTCAGGGTTTAGGGTTCCATTGATAGGATATTTTGATCGGTTCCTTTAAGACTGCATTGCAAGGATTGATACAGGTCAGGCTTGAGGGCGAGGAAGAGTCCAACAAGGGCTAGTAAGGGGGTCTAGGGTAGTCTTAGGGCGTTGGTTAGCATGAATTCTATGACTTATGTACTTATTCAGCAAGAGTTATCCTGAACCCAAACACCCCATAAGCCGTAACCCCAGCCTAGACCCATCGAAAAGATTCCCTGGACCCCTAAACCCCAAACCCAAACTGAACCCCTAATCCCAAAGCCGGGGCACCTCTACGTCGCCGCTGACCTCGCCTCTCTGCAGCCGCTCCAGCCTCGGAGGAAAGATGCCAAAAGGAGGGTTAATGGTGTAGGGTTTACTGCTTTTTTTGGTTAAGTGTCGGCGTGGCATTCAGGTTTGCGTGGCATTCAGGTTTGGGGCATTAGGGGGGTTTAGAATTTCTGATAAACTAACTTAATTAAGCGTTGCTCATGCATGGAACCTATGTCTATGTCTATATACACATGTGTAATAGTATGGTTGTTGATGTTGTTGTTGTTGGTACAGAAAAAAACAGCAGCCCGCAACTTATGTTAAGTAGAAAGAATTGGGAATCCTTCCGGCGACCGCATAAGGTGCCTGTGGAGTTTTGGGGAATGCAAAGCCATGGTTTACACAGCATCAGCCCCATGATCGAAATGCTGTCTAGGCTGGGTGGTTGTTGTAAAGGGGGGGGTCAAAGCAACAGACGGGGCTCCAGTTTTGGTCTCTAGCAACAGGTAGAGACAAAGGCCCCGTTGAAATCAGGACTTTGTCTCTACCAACAGGTGGAGACCAAAACTGGAGCCCCGTCTGTCGTTTTGACCCCCCCCCGCCCTTACAACAACCGCCCACATTAAACCATGTTTCCACCCCAGGTATGGGAATCCGCGAAATCCAGAAGGATTTACATGGGCTTTGAAAGGGTTTGTCTGGAATTTTCGAAGGTTTGGATTGGATCCCGGACGGTTACAAAAGCATTTGGAAGGATTTTGAACGGTTTTATGTGGGAATGCAAGCCTGGTTTACACAGCATCAGCCCCACGATAGAAAAAACAACTATGGAATTCCTATGGAAACCCATGAAAATCCTGTGCAAACCCATGGAAATCCTATAAAAACCATGGAAATCCTATGAAAACCTTTGGAAATCCTATGAAAACCTATGGAAAACCATGGAAACCTATGGAAAACCCATGGAAATCCGATGAAAACACACCGAAAACCCTTTACACCATAGCCACTGTGTTGTTGTTGGTGGGGGGGGGGTAAAACAACATGACGGGGCTCCTGTTTTTGTCTCTACCTAATGTGCAGACAGAAAGCAGATATGTGGGTTGACGGGGCTGCAGTTTTTGTTTGTTCCTTGTTGTTGTTGTTGCTGCTGCCGCTGCTGTTGTGTCCTGCTGGTGTTGGTGTTGCTATTGCTGTTGCCGCTGCTGTTTTTTACCGTTGTAGTCCGTAGTTGTTGGTGTTGTTTTTGGTGGAGGAGGTGGTGGAGGAGGTGGTGGTGGTGGTGGCGGTTGTAGTGGTGGCGGTGGCGGTGGCGGTGGTGGTGGCGGCGGCGGTGGTGCTGGTGCTGGTGCTGGTGCTGGTGCTGGTGCTGGTGCTGGTGCTGGTGGTGGCGGTGGTGGTGGTGGTGGTGGACAGTGGTGGTGGTGCTGTTGCTGTTGTTGGTTTGGTGTTGCTGCTGCTGCTGCTGCTGATGCTGTTGTTGCTGTTGCCGTTGCCGTTGCCATTGCCATTGCCGTTGCCGTTGCGGTTGCTCTTGTTGTTGTTGTTGTTGTGGTTGTGGTTGTAGTTGTGGCTGTAGATATGTAAGTTGAGTGGGGCCAGGGTCTTTCAGATAAGGGTTCAGAGCCCCACGGCTTTGGGACGTGGTGAGCGATCGAGCCAGGCTGACGACGAGGCCTCAGGAAATCAGAACCCCGCAAAATCTACATATTAAGGACATTGCTTTTTGAATTGAAGGGGTATACCAGCATAGCTACAATTGGGCGGAGTGCTTCTTGCACGGGCCCTACTGTTTAGGTATATACTCGGTCCCTTCTCGGAAACTTGCAGGAGTAAAGCTTTGTTCCCAGCATGTCGCAGCCGACGGCAGCCATGCAGGAAGGGGCAAGAACTGAATACTGAAGGCAATCAGACTGCAGACTTTACAGAAACCCGCCGCCTCGCAAGCCTAAACTCAGTAGAGCAACGAGGCAGAATGGCTCAAGCAATGACGCTATTCTGAAAACCATCTACCCTTTGCTCTGCCCTTCCACCCTACCCTACGCTATCCTACCTGAGGCCTGCGCTCGTTACTGGAAGCCTGGCTGGTACGCCCGGCAGTCGACGCTCCTGCTGTCTCTGACTTCGGGATAACTTCGGCTTTTCGTGAGGCCATTTGACACATCCCATTCGCCTTCTCCCATCTTCACGGAATACATACTCCCACATGTACATATACATGCAGATGTGCATGTACATACACATTCATACACATATTCATAATCATATAGATACACACAACCATATACATATACACTTACATTTATATACATACATATATACACACACCTACACTAGCTTTGGAATCAACTAGTAAGAAGCTTACGGCTGAGTTGGTCTCCTCTCTTTTCATGGGTACAGTCTCTGGGGACTCTCGAAAGAGTTCGAGCTCTTGTTCTCCTTGCACAATAACGTCGAGTCGCCCTCTCGCCCTGAACCCTACTCTGAACCAAAACCCTGAGTTGTCGTGCTTATGCCCAAGGCAAGGGACTTTTTAGGATACGATGACACCGTAAGATTTCATTCAAGATGCCATGGGGATTCAAGAGGAATGAAAGCCACGATGATATGTTCTAGGGCTCATTGATGGAACTTCGATATGAAAGTCTCCCCGTGGGCATTCACAGTGTCTTCCCGCTTTCTAGCAGCCTTTTCTGCGGTGATGCTCGGGACCAAGAACCATAAGCTCTGCTGACATATTGGGGCATAAGCATGTGGCAGTTTCTTTCTTAAGGGGAAGGAGTCATTACTTCAAGCACTCCACTCTTTCGGGTGTATATCAGGGTCCCGTAGTTTCTGAAACTCCCAGCCGCGGGACTAGAACATACTCAACACCTACGATCTTGTGCTCTTCCTGGGCTGGCTGTCCCGGGCATTGAGAGCTGTGTTCTGCTACAGTATTATAGGGCGAGCCTGTTGCTCCCAGCATAGGGGCAGAGATCGATCCTGCAGCTCTTCGCGGGGTTCGATGTGGGGTGTAAGGGCCTTGAGGGCTTTGCGAATCAGATGTGTTATCTGTTGGCATACATGACCTGTGCACCGAACGCCGTGCACAGGCCTTGGACCTCACAACATCCGGGCCTCATTCGTGTAGTATCATGTAGGATGCTGCAGTCTTCGATTCCTCATGAACTTACGAACTCGATCCCCTTGTTGGCCTTGTCACTGGTCCTGGTAAAATCTTGACTGAAACGCGGGAAACCCCTTGATTAACGAATCCGTTCCTCACAACGTATAGGTTCACAAATGAGCTAACGAACCTTCCTCAGCCGTAGTTGAGTTAGGGGGTAGGTGTGGCTGCAGGCGTATTGTAGGTTCCGTTTTGATGATTCGACTAGGGTATTAGGGTAGATTGGGAACTCTAAGGAGAAACAACTAGCAAGTATTCCGACGCCGAGATTTGTCCTGGATCTTCCGAAGAATCGCTCTTCTTGATGAAGTTGTCCGTAACCCAGAACTGGAAGGCGTTCATGACCATCTGGCAAGCACGGGGTATCTTCTCTTGACAAACTTTGGACTCAAGGGTTTAGGAACCTAGGGAATAGAACTAGTGATTATTCAGAAGGAGTCGCTGCGGGGCTCTACCCTTTTATACGCAAATACTGAAAGACCGGCAGTTCCAATAGGGTTCTGGAAGGATTATAATGGGGGCTTTTTCGAATATAATATACGGGTCCTTAAGAATTCGAACGGGGTTTTGTGGTAGAATGTGCTATGTAAAAAATTTGTATATCTGTGTATGTATATATATATAGATAGATAGAGGGAGAGAGAGAGAGAGATATGTATGTGGTAATATAGAATGGAAGGCATTGTCGAGTTTGGGTAGTTTGTGCCGGCTTTCTCACGTGAGTCACGTGGCGCTCGCTTCCACCAAGGTTCAGAGGTTTTGCCAGACGACAGCGCACGGCCGCTTCGCCTTTGAGGAAATGGTTCTATACGGTCCATACGACGAAAAGGCAGTGAGATTTGCAGGACACAAGATCCGTCCCACAATCTGCCTAAGTCCGAAGCACTGACTCCTGCCTCTAAGTCGCTAGCTACTTGAACGAAGCCTTACATATCTGGATTCAGGGCTTCGTGATTCTAAACCGGGTGGAGCGAGTTCTGAAGAAGAGAGTCTCTGAAAAACATGCAGTGGGCCGGAGTCGCGATCATCACGACGAGGAGCTTCAACCTTTCATTGTTTTGCGGTAGCTTCGCGCTCACACTTGGACAAGCCAGGCGAGGTTCTTGGTGCGTGGTCGGTGAGGTGAGACACATGCTGTAGGGTTTAAGGCTTGGAATTTGAGGGTTGATAGGGAGGTTAGGGCATGGTAAAAAGCTCGTGGTAAAGGCATGTCCATGCTGATGTCACGGGAGTCTGCTGACACGTGCCCGAAACCCCAAACCCCGGTCTCAGTGCGAAGAGATTGTCTTGCTGCAAACTTCATAGCAGATCTAGGGCCATTCAGGGTGTAATGTAGGGGCCTTACGGATTAGAATAGGGTTTTGGGTGGCTTAGAATATAAATAAATGGGACGACAATTGAACATTTCTAATTCAGCAAGGCTTCTATATTAGGAGTCATACTTGCAATGGGGCCACCCAGCATTTCCCGTGGCGGGAACCTCAAACAATTCTGAAATAGGCCCACCTTACCTCACACCCGGAAGAAATTCAAGAACCCAGCGTCCAAGTCGCCTGAGGTGGTACCGCACCCTTTTCACGTGATTCTGCGGAGCCCCAGGCTGCACATGCGTGACTTTCAGGCCCCTCGAGTTAAGGCGTCCAGACTGCAATGGCACTAAGCCTACTTAGAAGCTGTGAAGTAGGGGCCAGAAAGCTAGCACATCATGCTGATGATGCCCTGAAGGTAACGCACAGCGGCATAACGAAACCGAGCTGCTAATGCGACTTCTGTCATGGCTGTGGTATTATGCTTATAAGCCCTTTTTGAACGAGGTCTCTCTGAAGTGCCTGTCTACGAGCCAGACTTAAAAGCCCTAATTAAACCACAAAACCTTAAACCACTCATAATTTTAAGACGGTCGCTGCGAGCATCACCGAGGTTTCGGGGGTTTACGGGACAGCTTCGCGGTCTTCTCGGAGTTCTGCATGAGCCGACTTGTGCTGATGGGTTTTTTTCCCTCCTACCTAGCAAGGACGAGCCCGCATGGGGGTGTAGGGTGGGTCTGAGATCGGGGCATAGGCTTCTCCAAGAAAGGGTTCAGCACCGTCCGCGCAGCCATCGTCAGTGGCTTGGCCAGCAGTATCATCAACACAACCTGTTCTTGCAGGAACACAGTGCGCGGAAAGGAGGAGAAGATTGGACCGGTAAGGGCAACAAATTGTGCTTTTCCGAACAAAGTTCCAGGGGATTGGACAAACTGCAACTGGAGAGTCTGATCAAGGCTGCCGTGCCAATAGTAGTTGTATGCTAGCTGCCGATTGTACTTTGCCAGTGTCTTTTTACTTTTGCATGATGATTCAGCGTTGCTGCAGCTGGCAGCTGGATGATGACTATGTGTGTACATGCTAACCTCAAGCTGAGTGGAAACAGCAGCTGTACTCGAAACCTCATGATGATCGTACGTCTTGCTGTTGCTGCCACTGCTGTCGACGGTTGCTGTTCTGATGACGGGCACCCCCACTGCTGCCGCTGCTGCTCTTTCTATATCTAGTACTGCCTTTTGATGGCCGTGGGTTGCTGTGGGCCCACGTCTTCCAGTCAAGTTGAACCGAAGATTAACCACAAGTATGCTATTTAGTTTACAGTGTATGGTCTCGGGTTTGACACAGGCCTACATGTTCGTCAGGTTGATGGAGGTACGTTGCTATATACCCTAAACGCAAAACCACTAAACCCCAGCTATATAGCAATAGTGCCGATTGCGACCTTCCACGCAGGAGATAAAAGCGGCAACTCAAAATCCTCGTCTCTACCGAAAAATCTGCAACTTCAGCGGCCTTGTACCTTATGTTCTACTCTTTTACCATTTTATTATGAGCGTTATGACTGTGGTGATGATTGTGATTATCGTTATTGCAGTTGCTATACATACTGTTGTTGTTATTGTTTTCATCAGTATTGTTACTGTTGTTACTTCGGTTACTACTTTTATTATCTGTATTGTATCTGCCCGCTGCAAAAGACTTCAGGACTCAGTGACCCCAGAAATCGGGAGTTGTGTTTTGGAGCTGCAGTTCGGGGCCTATTTTCTGTACTTTTGAGCCTCTTGTGCTAGTCTGGATCTCTCTGATGTGGCAGTCAAGCCTACACCCGAAATCACAAAAAACCTGCGAGCGAGGGGCCATTGCCAGCTTCATGAAGCTCACGATGGAGAGCCATACGATGAGTTGCTTCACGTACATTATCACCTGCTTCGGTTGGTTCTGTCGGGACCTGAATAGTTGGAAGAGGGTTCGGCGGCATATTATTTGTTGTACAAATGAGATGATCTTGGTAGTTCTTCCGGCTTCTGTGGTACGACTGGCGCATGGCGCATCCGGTACGCGTGCCCCACGCTGCACACGATCAGAGACACCCTCAGTAGTATGCGCACCACGTGTGCCCTGGAGGCTAGACAGTGCAGAGTGTTGGAGAAGTAGAAGTAGACTGAAGTAGCCGCCGTCATCATACGTAGTAGTAGTAGTCGTCGTCGTCGTCGTCGTGGTCGTCGTCAGTAGTAGTAGTAGTAGTAGTAGTAGTAGCAGTAGCAGTAGTAGTAGTAGTAGTAGGAGGAGGAGGAGGAGGAGGAAGAGGAGGATCAGTAGCAGTAGCAGTAGCAGTAGCAGTATGTGCACAAGTAGCAGTAGCAGCAGCAGTAGCAGCAGCAGTAGTAGTAGTAGTAGTAGTAGTAGAGGAGCAGCAGCAGCAGCAGCAGCAGGAGCAGTAGCAGTAGCAGTAGCAGTAGCAGTAACAGTAGCAGTAGCAGCAGCCAACACTCTAAACCCCAGCCCTAGTCAGAACCTGAGAACAAGAACCGGAATAGGTTGGGGTTTCTGACAGGGAGAGTACCAGTGCCACACCCAAGACTTCAAAACATGAAGGCTCCAAACTAACCATGCTCACAAACACGGCCAGCTATACAACAGCCTCACCCTGCCTGCTGTGCAAAAAAGGCTTCGTGGAGAGGTCTACAGTCTAGCGACGGGGGTTGGAGCACCTGCTGCGCAGTATACTTGCTGTGTGCCGGGGGGGGGGAGGACGTCCAGTGCAGAGTTTCACCTACTGTCTGGTGCCCTTCTAGACTACAGAATGATATATGGGCTTTCGTATGTGGACCGAGTGGATCTTCTGGCCGATCGATATAGCAGCCGTAATGATGAGAACAGGGTTTTGGGGTTCATTCTAGTACAGGTTCGAGGGCTCCAAGGACTAGTACTAGCCTATGATGCATCCTATTCGAACCATTGAGGTACCCTTGCTGGAGCTTCTGCGACTCGATACTGAAGTGGGTCACCCATCACGTCTCGTGCAGGAATTAGAGTCTTCGTATCTCAAAGTTTTAACCTCCCTGTCATGTACCTTCAATGAAGAAGGTCGGAATCCTCAAAGAAGCTTTGTTTGAATGCTAGGTGTGTGTGTGTGTGTGCGTGCGTGCGCGTGCGTGTGTATGTACATATGCATATATATACATATATAGATATATATATATGTAGATAGATAGATAGATAGATAGATAGATAGATAGATAGATAGTAGTACAGGCCCTGCCAGGTTGCCTGAAACTCTCCATTTCGCCAATAGTTTCCGCTGCGGAAGTCCTGACCGACCAGTGTTGCGGCCCCAGGCCCCACTCCGACAAGCCGAGCCCTTAATTCTCCGGCTCCTCCCGTAAGGATTGTATAGGGTACCAAAAGTCTCCATTGCAGTTCTTTTTTTTTGGTTTAACCAATTCTATATTAAGGATCCTAAAAGGTAACCCTAAAAGGGAACTACAATGGAGACTATAGGTAGGGTTTAGGGCCACAGCAGCTTCCACAAATCGTACCCACCCCAAACGCCCTCAGAAACTCCGTCCGGAAACCCCCGAACTGTAGACAGGTTTCCCGAACCCGTGCCGAAACCGGTAATACTTTTCGAGCCCTTTACAGAACCTGTCTAGAACGCTACAGCGCCTCTTTACCCGAAACCTGCGTCCTGCCCACCCTCTCCGAGCAGCATGTCCAAGGCTTCGGTAAGGATCCGGAGTAACATATACTCCACCCAGACCTCTCAGTCACTCTGATCCTTTTTGAGACACGATCTGGGGCACGTTTGAGGAAGCATCATTCGAGGCAAGAAGCTGAAGGAAGCTGTAACCCTGAACCCTAAGTCCTAAATGGGGGACTCTAGTTCCTTTTGACGGCTCTACTCAAAACTCGCACTTTTTGTAGCTTAGGGCACTCCACCCCAACCTTTCCGTTCTCGGGTTTAGGGCTCAGTTTTTGCTTTTGTTGGGGACGGTCAGGCTTTGGGATTTAGGGTTGTAGGGTTGACGGGGCTAGGTGGACCCTAGGAGACCTGTCTAAGGACTTGTATAAGGAAGTCAAACGAAGGCAGGCTCCGGCAGGCATTCAAGATTTTGGGACTAGTCTCGAGCCGTGCGCTGAAGTCGAACAGGGACTGAATGCTCAGAACTCCACTGAACTTTCTTCTGCACCTAGTTAAAGGCTTCATTCATTGGGTTCTAGGGTAAAAGAATGGCTAACCAAAACAGGAACCAGATTGGAGACTACAAGTGAACCCGCAGTTTCGGAGCCTTGATAGAATAGGGCTGGGGGGGGGGGGGCACAGTCTTCTGCATTTATCTTCAATCAGGAACGTCATGGTTGTGCTGTTGCTTCTTGGCGAGCCAAAGTCCCAGGCTTCAGCACTGTCTTTTATCGGTTGAGAGACTTGGCTGTCCTCCTTGGTCTGCCGTTTAAGGCTCCATGTACCTATATACACTATATCATATGATACATATATATATACATACATACATACATACATACATACATACACATGCATATGTATATATATATATATCTTTATTTATTTCACATATATTTACATTCACACATACATATACAGATACATATGTATGTATACTTAGACTTACTCCTTCAAGCAGGAACACCCCCCAAGGCGGAAGTCTATACTTATATGGGCACCTGGAGCCTTCGGGCTGCTTTGAGTTTACACAAGAACGAAACGCGACGTGGGAGACTGTGGTATCAGACTTGGATCCGTCATTGTGCCCATGGGCACGAAAAGGTCGCAAAAAGTCGCGAAAAGCCAGCGATGCCAAGACAACACCAGAATCCCGAAGCAAGCCACAAGAGAAGCAACCGCCCCGCCCCGAGGGTGGTGTCCAGCATGATGTTCAGCCAGTACCTGGCAGTTAGCCGCCACCAGATGCTTAGCCTTGCACCTAAACGTGTGCGACTAACAGCTCAATGAGTAAATGGTCCCTGATGCCTCAACCACGATGAAGCTTCGAGCAAAGGAATTAAATGCAGTGCCAGGCAATACACGTATCCGAAGTGTTCGCCAGAACGGGGCGCCACTCGCACTCATCTCCTTCACTCATGTGGGTGCCCATGATGGTGGCGCACCTGGGAGAGTTGGGCTGTAATGATGATGATGGTGATGACGACGATGATGGTAACTCAATCGTGATGCAGTTGATGATGGTAGGCCGCCTACCTACAGCTACCCTCTGCAGAAAGTCAAAACGGTTCAGTGCTCAATGTTCGATCGTCACAAGAGAATATCCAGAGCCAAGCTCCTCTGAGAGCCTGTCTAGAGAGTCTAGATCATGCCATGATGTTGTGGTCTCCCTTGCTACCTCATCCGGGTCAAAGGCCAGAACCACTGAACCCTGTGGGCAAAACACTGCAAAACCACACACAAGAGGCGAGGCGCTTAATCATGCATGCTACGACAACATGTTTTCAGCCACGTCTCCTGGTGCTGCTGCTCCTCCCCTACCACGACTCCTACTCTTGCTCCTGCTGCGACAACGACGACCGACGACGGCTACCTGCACGGCCACGAGCAATGCCGTGACAAAAGGTAGTCGTCGGTGCTATCACCAGGCCAACGACTTCGACGTTGGCAATGACAACGTCGCAGAGGTATACGTGGAAACACCCCAACCACTGCAAACCCGAAAGAAGCCAACATTTTCCAGAAAAAACGACTCGACTTTGATTGAATTTGTAGCAGCTTTGTACGTAGTCGGGTTTGGGGAAGGCCACATGAGTCAATTTATTTTCCAAGTCGCAGCTGCTTTGTTGTGGACTGCTGTGTGTCTGTGTGTGCGTGTGTGTGTTTGTTTGTGCAGGCTCATGACCAGAATGTTTCAAATGCACCTGCATGACGGTTGTCACTCGGCCCTTTAATGCCACAGAACAATTCTTATCTAGCCGGGCTTTTCTCGGCCGTGACTACACTCACCGTCGCTGTTGACAGCCCTGTTCTGCAGAAGGACTTTCCGGATAATATGGAGGCCTGAAACTTGCCAATACCATTTTGGGGGCTCCTTAATCTATGTAAGCATACAGTTTAATATACTCCAAAACCCTGTCCGAATTATTAAGGCCCCTATATCAGACTGCAGCCGGGCATCAAGAGGTTCATCACATGAATCCATCCTTCCGGACTTGTTTTCTCAAAGGGTTTCGGGTATAGGGTTTAGGGGCGGACCATGTTTCGGGCCCTGTGGGCACGGTTTGAGGGGTAATGAACAGTTCACACTTTTGACTTAGGACGAATACAAAGCATCTAGACACTAAACCTTTCTGCAACGTAATCGGCCTTTGAAGGCCTAAAAGCTTTCTTGTGTTGACCGGATTCGATTTCGGCACAGGCAGATCGTCTGCCAAGGCCCTACCCAGCCGGATGGACTCGGACCAGCTACATGCCTTCTTTAATGAGGGGTTTCTACGGTTCCTTTCCGCATCTGTAGAAGGGCTCTTATGAGGGTTCCTCCTACACGGGATTCTAGAAGGAAGAACAAGGGCTTAAAGAGGTGTGCTTGCACAACGGAGCCTGCACTTCCCCCAGGCCAGGGACGATGTAAAGCCCTGAGTCATAAATCACTAACAGCCCCAAAACCCGAAGCCCTCACGCCATCTGAGCACAACCAGAAGTTCAAATAAACCTACTTCGTGCAACCCCGAAACCCGTGAAAAGTCCTTCACCTCAACCCCGAAGCCCCCTAAACCCCAGCCCTAAATCCCCCCCCAACCCCCAAACTCCCCAAACCCCACAAACCCCCATCCCTGAACTGCCAGGCCTGCACCCAAGAACTGCTTCGAGGAATCCAAGCCAAACTGAAACCAGCTCCGTCTCGGCCCCTCCCGGACCTGTTTGAAGGTTCCTGTTAAAGGGATCCTTTCATGGGTTCCCTTTGAAGGATTGCTTTAAGGGGTTCCCTTTGAAGGGTTCCCTTTGGAGGGTTCTGCAACATTCCCTTCAAAGGCTTCCTTTTTGCAGGGTTCCTCTGAGGGTTGCCTGAGGGTTCCTTTATACGAAGGGATCTCTGTGCGAGTTCCTTCAAGGGTTCCCTTTTAAGAGTTCCTTTTTGGGGTTCTTTTTAAGAGTTCCCTGGAGGCTTTTATTGGGGTTTCTCCAGGGGTTTAGGGTTTCCTTTTCCCTTTTGCCACAGGCTTGCCGAGTTCACACGCAAACCCTAAACCCTTAACCCGGGGTCCACACGTCTCGTGCCCTTTCGGATCTCTTTAGAGGTTTCAAACAGAGGCACTTTAACAATCAAATTGGGATGTAATTGTGGTATGTCATAGTAGCCGTATACTATCCATGTTCAGGAAACCGAAAGAATAATCTTGAACCATGCAAGCTTCCATATGTTGAGAGTGCTCCTGGCAGGTATGTTTCGTTACTCGCGCTCGACAGGGTTTAGGGCTTAAGGTCTACACGGTTCAGGGTCTGTTTTAAATTTCAAACAGGTTCGATGACCTCTGTAGCCTGTAGCCTGTCATTCCAAAAGGGCCGAAGTACCAGCATAGCAGATACGTCTAGAGCAACTAAACTACATGCCACTACGACATGGCCCTCTCGAGCATCTTCAGTGTCGCTTCTGGCTGTCTTTGGCGGTTTAGTGTTTGAGTTTCGGTTCGGGGTTTCCGTGATTCCCTAAACCCTAACCTTAAACTCTAAACCTATTGACATTGGTAGCTCCGACTCACGCTTCGCAGCAACAGTGCCGGTCTTTTGACTGTTTGGGGCTTCGGGGTGTAAGACTTCAGGTTCAATTATTAAGCTGGGTGTAGGACCTCTAGATTCAGATTTATCATGAATCGAATAGCATATACTTTGGCCTTAAAGTAGTCCGAATATAGTTGCTTTGGGGCCAAGTATATACTGTTTGGGTACATGGACCCTTAGGGAGTTATTGCCCTTGAGGCTTGCAGTGGGGCTACTAGAGCGTTAGGAGATTCGTGGCTTCTGAGGTATCGGAATATCGGTCCCAAAGCGTCCTAGGTACTGATATGGCGATTACTTCCCAAGTCATAGCTCGTGCTGCGAATATGGAAACCCCACATTCTACTAGGTACTCAGGAAATTTGTGAGTGTTTAGGATTGTGGCGAAATACTATGCATCTATGGCTTGAAAGCCCTCCAAATGTTGAAGGTCTTTTCATGTTCTCTGGGACACTAGTGCCCATCCCAACATGGAGTTTTGCCTCATTTCAACGCACTTAGCGAGCTTCCTCCTCCCTCTCTCCATGCGCGATGCCCCAAGAGCTACTAGTAGGGGTTTAGGGTTCAGCGACCTGAAGCTGTCCGTCTCACGTCTCAACCGTACGTTGATGATGCTAGCATTCATGCCTGCCCCTGGTGAGCCTGTCCGCCAACCACACACTGAGCTGGGCTTCCATATGTTTCCATGAACGACTCGGGGCTTGAGGCCTAAATAGCTTTAGAGCTGAGGGACAGGGTCGGTTTGGAGTAGTAAATCGGAGCCGCCAGTGGCATGGGTATTGTGCAAGCCAGCTCCAGGATGCCTTCTTCACGACGAGAGTGCCGACGCAGCAGCAGAACAGCAAGAACTGCACCTCAGCAGACAGACATGATGTCGCCCTCCACTATGTTGCGATTGCGAGGTAAGTCTACCCACAATGTGCTGAACAAGTTCGCCCTAGCTTTCCGCTTTGCTCGCCGGTTCTACATCCTTTCAACAGTGAGCCCCAAGTAAAGCCCAATGC